TTTTAAGCTCATGGGTCCTTTGTTCTTCCTTACCCAACAATCATATAAATGATACCAAAGGCACTGGTATCTGCCTCACACTTGGGGAGTGAGGTTTAGTTCGTATAACACTGTATCAAGGACACATGGCAGAGTAATGGATGCAATAATGATTCTAGGACATTCTACTGAGAATACTTTCTATTTTCTGGTACATGCCAAAGCCATATTTAGAATTTTTCATCCACCCACCTTGTGCACATTACAATTTGTGTTCCTTTGGGTTGGGGGGAAGTATGAGATTTCTTGCTGATGATCCAAGAAATGTGAATAAAGTTGTTGGCAGATGGTTCGCACATTTCATTCTGAAATATCTTATAGTGACAAATAACAAAGTGTATATAATTAGCTCTATGCAGATGGCATGCCAAGTGTTGATATTCATCTCTGCAGACTTTTTACAAAGACACTATTTTAAGAGTTAAGATTCAAAGACAGCCCATAAGCCCTCTAACGAAGAACTAAGCAGAGTTTTACCCAAAAGGACCATGGCTATCAGGTAACCTTTCCCCAGACCAAGTTTGCTGTTCTAGATCCATGCTGAACCCCAAGGGGAGGAAACACAGTGAGCTGTGACTAAGTACAACTGATAAGACTATTCTGATTGCTTTGATTGAATTGGCAGAAGGTACAGAGCAGTGGATTTGGGGCAATGTATTCACTGTTCTTAAACCATGGTGCTATTCTTTCTCTTCCTTTACTCAGCCAAGTCTTTGTACCTACTTTTACTCTCTACTAGGAATGCTCTGCTCTAAGGTCATTTCCTAGATGGAACTTCTTATCAGTCAACTTTTAGTTCAAATATCACTTCTGTAGAAGGTTTTCCCTGCCTGTCAAACACGACTTCTCCTTCCCTCTTGCCAGTTCTTCTCATGTTACCCGGGTTTGTTCTCTTATGGTTTTTGTTACTGTATTTGAGATAGGGATAAGTGAGGATTTTGATTGATTGCTGTATCCCAAGCTCAATTACAGGGCATACCATATGGGAGTTAGTTAATTATCATGTACATTTGCAGCTACTCCTCGCTGGTCATAGTTACCAAAATGTTTGAGAAGTACCTTCTCTGTATTTTTCCAGTAGTAGATCATATGCTGTCAATGTTACCACATCAAATTAATACTATCTCTGCTGTAAAATTTCTATTTTATTACTCTTTTTTTCAATATTTGTTTTCATTTTTTTGGTACATACATATGGGAGACAGAATTTGGAAACAGATCAGGTCTGCATATAAATATAGAACAATGTTTTATATACTTGTTCCTTTTCTTTTGTAGTTTACCAGTAAATAAGGATCATGCAAGATTAGCTTATTTATCTACTATATGCTATATTGTTACATGACTTATAGACTCTTTCTGATATTAATAGCACACTGATTATAAGGAAAAAAATGTTAATTTACTAAAGAGATTAGACACCTAGGTTTTCATTTTGGTTCCTTCATAAAGTCATTACTATAATTTTAAAATATTGTGGTTAAATCCAACAATATATAAAATCAAATATCTATGACATGTTTGGGATTTGGTGAAATCAGTGAAGAGAAGAACATACTTTGATGGAATAGAAATAGCCATTATTTTGTTTTTCTTCAGAAAATAGAATTTCAAATTAATCTTTTAAAGGATAGTATCTTCAAGTTTTCATTTTAGTGATATTGTGTTTTCTGATAGATTGTCCTGTTTCATGGTGTGAATCATTGCTTATTGTTTTCCATTTCAGTTCACTGAAATTCTGAGAATTCTCCTGTTTCTTTAATTTGAATCTTTGTCTTGATTCAGAGCTCAAATATTTGTACCTCTGGTTTTAAGCAGGAATAGCTGAAAATTTTGAGAACCGATTCAGGCAAAACATAAACAACAGGTTTGAAGTACCAAAATGGAACATTACCTTCTTCCCCAGTGTCTTTTAATTGTTAAATTTAAATGCTTCAGTTTGAGCATCCATAAAATGTGACGATTTCTTTGGCTGGGATTCTGTTGTTTTCCAGTTCCTTCATAGAGTTTTTAAAAAATGCAACAGTTTTATTTCTTAAACAGGTTGCAGGTTCTGCACATTTTCTCTATCCTCTAAGCTTTTAGTGCACAAGGGGATCCTTATATTAGCCCTGTTTTCAATTCTTATTGCAAAAAGTTGGCCACATTAAAGACACCACGTCTCTAACTCTCAACTGCAGTAGGCCCCAAAATGCTGTGAAGAGCCAACAACTGAGACTAACTGCTCCCTAAGAGAGAAACAGCTTTAAATCTGAGCTCTCATAACTGGAGGAACATAAGTCAATTTCCATCTCACAGCACACTTTGAGGCGATGAGTAGTCTAGGCTGTGTATTCTACTGAGGAAAAGAGACACATATGTACTAGGTTACAATTCAGCAATGAATGAATGTTTTCATTTTTTGTAAAAAATATGAAAGAAAACCTGAGTAATTTCTAATGCTCTTATCTGTCTTTGTGGATACTCAATTTAATTAATTTCTTTCCATTTTTAGCCCCAACTCCAGGGTCATTGTCTTCTCTGCATCTCTTATGCCAATCATGACCAGGATAAAATGAAGACAAATTATCTACCTTGTCTGCTTGTTTGCTTTCTCCCAATAATAAGTATTCATGTTTTCCTGCATGTTTTTTTTTTCAAGTAAACATTAGTATTATTAATTTCTTGTGTGTGTGTGTGTGTGTGTGTGTGTGTGTATGTGTGTATGTGTGTCCTTTTGCATGGTAGAGTAGACTCACAAGCTAGGTCCTCTTTCAAGGAGGATCCAACAAACAAGCTCAAACTGAGGGCCATTCTTCAAAAATACTGAACTGCATTCTTGGGTACTATAACTAGCATGAAAATCATGCCCCCCCCCACAAAATTTAGGATATTTATAGATTAAGGAACACTAAAGAGTTAGGAAAATGAATGACCTAGGATTGTCTTTTGCATAAAAGGGCATTATTGGGACAGTTGGTAGGCTTGGAAAAAGACCTGTAGGTGAGATGCTATTGAAAATCAAAGTTAATGTCCTGAATTTGGAAATTATATTATGATTATATAAGAGAATGTCCTTATTAGTAAATTTACATGGAAGCACTTAGAAATGAATGGGGATGATAACTGCAATTTATTCTCAAATAGTTCAGAAAAAAATGAGCATGAGGGAAGACAGAGAAAGAAAAAACTGAAGTGTGGAAACATGTTTAAAATAATGGTAAAGGTACAAGGATGTTTGCTAATCATTTTGTAACTTTTATTTAAGTCTGAAACTATTCTAAAACAAAACATAAAAACTTGGCCATTTTTGTTGAATCCTCTCCATAGAGGCCAGCTTCTCTAGCAGATATTTGTCTGACCCACTCTCCAAAAAAAGCTTCCCAGCTGTATCAGTTCTTCTAAATCCTCTTCAACATCTAAAAGTGTCTATTTCCAATATGCAATCTATATGCAATTAGTTATCTATAAATACGTTTATAATATTTGGCATTTCAAAGGTTCTAACGTGTATATTATTTTCTACATTTATATTTTTTATCTACATTTTCTACTTAAGAAATTGTGTTATTCAAGAATTTATCATGTATATCATCCCAACATTCCTAAGACATACAAGGCAATTTATCACCATTAAGTATTGATAACAGAAACTGGAAGAGGTCATTTGTGCTTGTTTTGTTTCTGTGATGTGTCAGGCACTATACAGAACATATTCTTTATAAAAATTTGTTTCTTATAACAACGTTCTGAGATATTTTAAGAATTACTGATGTGAAAAGAGGCTCAGAGAGTCTCGTGGCATTTTCCGATGGTCACACAACTAGGGAATGGTTGTGACAGAATTTGAACCTATTCTTGAGATAGACTTTGAATCCATGCCTATGTGGAGGCTCTAAGTGCAGTTTGTTTTCACTAGTATGCCACTCTGCACATATCACCTCCATGAAAGTTAAAGATCAAAGTCCATGGAGTGAAGATGTAATAAAATGAAAAGAGAGTGTTATGTCAGTACCATAGGTGAGTGGTACATTTGTAAAAATAATGTGATGAGCTCTGCCCTCCACTGATGCAAAAAAAAGGGTCGAAGCTTACCAGGGGAGATGAACTACATACTGTCACCAACCTCGAAGAATTTCAAGGATCTGATGTCCTCTACCTTGAACATTTCAAGACTGAGGAAACATGCTGATTTTCAAATGCTTCCTGACTTAATGAACTGCCATTAACCATTATTTTTATCTCAAGATTTTATCAAAGACCATGAAGAAGATATGCTTATGTTTTCCCATTTGGGTTTAATAGTCTCACCATTTTGTCCCTACTGTGGTGGGTTATTTCATTAAGATCATAATAAACCCATTTGAGACTTTATCTGATGCCAACAGTCTTTTATGTTGTTTTTTTCCAGGTCTTATCCTCTTTCTATAATTCTATGATTCCCATTTTCATTATCCAGAATTTGGTAAGGGGAAGATTTTATGTATCTATAGTGGAATTCCTGAATTATTATTTTTGTTTGAAAAATAATACAAAGTCCTTTATGCATAGACTTCTATGGTTTGAATGTGTCTCTTCCAAAATCTGGTTACCAATGGGTAGTGTTAAGAGATGAAGCCTTTAAGAGGTGATTAAGTCATGAGTTTATTCTCAAATAGTTCAGAAAAAAAATGTGAATGAGATTAAAGCCATTATAAAATAGGTTTCATATAGCATTTGGCTCTCTTGCTTGTCTGCCTTCTGCTCTGTGAGAATACAACCAAAAAGCCCTATCCAGATACCAAATGCTGATGCTACCATCTTAGACTTCCCAACCTCTAGAACTGTGAGAAAACCAATTTATGTTCTTTATAAATAACCCAGCAGGTGGAATTCTGATATAGCAGCACAAATGGACTGACACAGACTTATGTTAAAATAGTGTTTCTAGCTTGATCATAAGACAAAGTACTTCTATAGCACTGTATTTCTAAAGTATTTCCGTGACTTTAAAGCATTTCGGAACAGCAGAATATTTGTGATGGTTGATCTTTTAAAACATGTTGGAAACAGAATATTTGTGATGGTTGATCTTTTATGTAAACTTGGCGAAGCCAGGGTACTAAGATATTTAGTAAAAGATATCTGGAGTTTCTTATAAGGTATTATTTATTTATTTTTATTTATTTATTTATTTTTGGTGAGATCAACATTTAAATCAGTAGATTTTGAGTAAAGGGGATTACAGTCCATAATGTGGAGTCTCCTCTAGTCAGCTGAAGGGCTTGGGAAGAAGATTGCCCTTTTCTGAGAAGAGGGGATTCTGCCAGCAGACCCCTTCACCTTGAGCGGCAACATCAGCAATCCTGAGGTCTCTGCCTGCTGGTGTATCCTGCAGATTTTGTACTTGCAGTCTTCACCATCATGTGAGCCAACTCCTTAAAGTAAGTCTCTCTCAACCCTGTAGTATAACTTTTATTGGAAGCATCAATCTTTACAAGACCATTCAATGTAGGTATGAAGACATGAAGTGGTTTATGAATTTGCTGTTAATTTTTACAGGGTACAGAGGAGGTCAAGAAACCTCTTTGTTACTAAAGCATTTAAAATCAGTGAATTATATCCCTGAAAGTGTACCAGCTATTACAGTATGCATATACTTTAGTGTGTGAGGTGTATGTGTGTGTGTTTTAGCATTTTAGTATATGTTAAAGAGGACATGAATTCAGTCATTTGAACAATTCAGTTTTTGGTAAGGAACTGTATCCTCAAACAGAGACTTGACTACTTATTGTGTAGCAAGCCTTTTATCCATTTATTGTCATTTTATTATTAATATAATTCCCATTAATAAATGATATCAGGTCATTATTCAGTCTGGAGTTACCAAAATTTCTGTTATAGGCATGGGAACTTATTGTATTATAAAAATAAAACCAAGAGATTCTTCACTGGTTAAGGTGTTAGAGTTGCTGGTTAGGGTGTCATACTAGTAGATGATATGAGACTGAAAGAATTGTAACATTTCATAATTAGTTAACTGACAAGTAGAAAAATATTGAGTGGTTTGCTTTAGCAAAAGAGATTTACCTCATTTAACATCAGTTTTCAAGATGATCCTAATTCAATTTCAAGTCTAGATGCTTTGACTAACTTAGAAACCAACTAACAGTTTTACTTTGTGTAAGGACTGTTCTATAGTAGTAATATGAATTCATTTAATATTAATCACTAAATATTTAATCACTACACATTTTCTCATTTGATTTCCATAACAAACTTTGGAAGGAGGCATTGTGATTCTTATTTTGTGATTCTTATTTCTGAAATCAGTTGAAGGTTAAATGTGAAACACAAAGTCACAGAGTTAACAAGAGGCAGAGCCAGAGCTTCCACCTGGGTTTTGATTCCCCAGGATGTGGCAAATGCTTAGAAGAACCTCGCAGTGTAATGAGAAAAACATCTGGTGCACATGCAAGAATATTTTTTAAAAAATATGTACATGTATGTGTGTGTGTGTTTGTGTGTTATGTGTGTCCCATTTTAATTCTTAGAAAAATAAGAGGGTATAAATGGTTCAATCCCTCAGATTATAGAATGCCTTTTTGAAACAGCATACATATTTAATTTTTAAATTCCCCCTTAATATAGTAATATATATTCCTGATTGCCCCTGCAAGATATCCGAAAGAGAAAGCATAACTGTGAAAAATAAATAAATAAAATAAGAGAGAAGAGGAAGAGAGAGCTCTTTTTTTATGGGTTTGGGGCAAAGATGCAGAAAGGATTTGGCCAAAGGAAAAGGAAACTTGGGGATTTCATGGGAAGAAAGATTGCAGAAAGGAGAATGACAAATTGGAATTTGACTCTCTGATCACTGTAATTATCAGTAATGGTCAATTGTGATTATTATAATTTAGAAAAATGAAGGAATCTGGCTGGCACTCAGGCATTTAATTACCATGTTATGACCACACCATTTGGAAAGCTTTCATTTGCATTCATGGAGATGAATAATTTCTTTTTGATTTAATGAGAAGAAAGCAAACTTCCTGTGCTTCACTTTGTATCTTACAATCTGCTGGGGAAATTTCTCATTCATATTCCTTTTATGCAAATGATCAGCATTATGATCACAGAAGTATAGCATCTTTTTCTCCCTTTTGTTATAATTTCTGCTCTTCAGAGAAAGGCATGTAGTCCTCAGTGGCCTACACCTCACCACTGAATAGCAAGCTCTAGCTGCAAAGCACTTTGTAAAGTGGAGCATTCATTGATAGAGCAGAGTAATATGTCTGTTTTGCATTTACAGGTTGCTTTATACTGTTCTACTGATAAGAGCTTTCACATTCTTTATGTCACATCTTCCCTGTGAGAGACTATATATCCTCACTTTTCAGATAAGAAGTCTGAGTCAGAAAAATGATGAATATTTGCTTTTCTTCACCTTAAAAATTTCCCCCTATTTTCTTTTCTAACCCAGTTTTCATTTATATGATATGACGCAAAAGTCTAAATTTATTCTCTTAGGTATTATCCATTAATGATGGTTCCTATTTTAATCATCAGAAATATAAACATCACACAGATCATTTTTTTCTCTAACATCATAACATTGATTTAAATAACACAGAAGAATCTCTAAAGAATCGTATAAGAAGATTTTAAAAATTCAGCAAATAAATGTTTAAGGGATATAAACAGGTAATCTACAGGAAGAATTTACCCTGTCTTAGTAATAGTCAAGAAAATGTAAGTTAAAATCCAATGGGAGACTGAGTTTTACCTATTAATAAATTAAAAGATGAAAGTTATCATTAACAAAAGAAGTGCCTTTCAGAAGATTCTATGTATATATTGTTATGAGCAGAGAATGAGTCATGGAAGGTCAGATACTACAACTTGGGGAAATGGGAATGCTTTAATGAGCAGGAATAGAAATGGAGATGATATTATCACTTATTTCAATATTTTTAACTTTTAAAAATATTCACATATTACTTTGCAATTAAAAATTGAGTACAGGTAAAATTAGAATAAATGTATTAGTGAATACCACCTAGATAATTACCAAATGTTAACAGAAATCCAGAAGAATAAAAAATTGGGTTTGAATACTTCAAAATATGATGCTGAAATAAATATTTTGTTCATATGGTTTATATGTGAAGTGATAATAAAAGTTCAGGGGTGGGAGAAGAAAGGGGAAAATGGAAAGTGAAGGCTGTCAGTTAAGGATATCTTATAAACCCTTGGCCACTGCAAGTTTGCTGAGCCAGGGGCCCAAAGACCTGGGCTATTTAAGCACTAGCCCTGAACACATGGATTCCAGAGGGAAATATTAACCAAGCTTTTGAAAAAATAGTTCAATTCAGCATATGCCATCACTTTAGACAGAGTGCTGTCTAAAGACTGTAATCGTTAGGATTAATGTGGATTTGTGTATATGTGTGCTTGTGTGTTTTCTCTTACTAAAGCAAAATTTAACTGATGTTTCACAGTAAAATGAAGGGCCTATTGGCAGGCAGTTTGTGATTTCTCATATATACCTTTATGCCTCAAATCTCTAAATAAGACATACAGTCTTTTTATGTTCTTTCACTTCCTTTTTTAAAAAATAATCTATTTTTTTCTGTCTAGATTTGGTTATTTTATTACTAAGCAAAATATCTGCAACATTTTGAGACTTTAAATACATTTTGGCATTTAAAACTTTCTTATTTTCCATAATTCTCAAAATGAGCCATTGAAAGCTTGAAAATCTTTTTGAAATTTGTGAAATTCACTTGTTACCCAGTTTTTAAAAATAAATTATGATAAATTAATATTTAGGAGCAAATCTACTTTTGGTAAAGTCTTATTTAAATTTGGCTGTCTTTGTTGTTGAATGAAAGAAAAAATTCTTTATATTTTCAGATTGAATCAAGGTCTTTGTGCATTCACTACATTCTTTGCTGGCCAGTGGTTTCACATCTAGGAAACTTCAAAATTACTGAGCAACAGGTGAGATTTCTCTCTTCCTTCTGTCTCCTTTCTAGTCAACCTTATTTAGAGCTTGTTTATTGATTTTTTTTCATGATATTACAATATGAGGTTGTTTTTACAATATTTGTTTAATGGGTTATTTTGTTAAATTTGTAGAATGACTAATGAAATAATTTTATTTTAGCTGCCACAGTGGAGTTCTAAAAATATGGCAAATAGCAGTGGTTAATATGAGAGTATGTTTCAAAGGCTTTTTTTAAAAAAATCTAGAAATGGCTGAAAATATGCAAGGAACATTGACATGCTCAGTAGCTCAAAATAATTAAGACTTCCCCCCCCTCTACCATTGGAGCAGTAGTGAACTTCAAAAATTGCTTAGGTATTCCAAATTGCAAATTTCAGTTTTGAAAATGGATCTAGGAATGATAAGATTGTTAGAAAAAGAACTAAAATCCAAAAAGTAACAATTGACCATGTGACTTATATCCATGGGCTGGTAATTTTGATTCTAGGAGAAATAAAATTAACCCTTTAATTCCTTCTATATTTATACTTCCACCAATCATGGATATTGATGACCTGGTATTTTCATATAATTTGTTCTCTCAGGAAAACAAAATAAACCTGTATGAGTTGAAGTAAATGAACTTCACCTTCCCTATATTCACTTTAATCCACATCAATATTCTAAGAAGGCCAAGTGTTTATCCCGCTGTGAAGAGTTCTGTAAATAGCCAGACCAGGCCCTCTGCCTGGAGGAGGTCTTTAGTCTACACTCCCTTGTGATGGAAACTCAGTTCAGCCTAACTGCAGCTGAAAAGGGCATTTATTGACTCTGATAAGTGGGAAGTTCAGAGAAGAACCAGGCTTCTGCCCAGATGGATCTCAGGCTGTAAAAGGGAGAAGGAGGGACTATAAGGGGTGTTCATAATGGAGTTCTTAATTAAATCCTCCCTCCTCTCTGCCCCTCTCCCTTAGCCCCTTTTTCTCTGTTTTGGCCTCATCCTTTTCTACTGAGGAATCAAGTCCTCTCTCCTATGAATCAAGGGCTGGTCTGTAGCCCTTATGTTCACAGCTGATCAGTCTAATAAACTTTGCCAACCTAGTAGTTTAAAAGAATTATTTTATATTTTTTTCATGATTCTAAGAGTTAGGAATTCAGACTGGGCACAGAGGGATGACATCTCTCTCACCCACTTGGTGACTATGGGAGCTTGAATGTCCAGAATACTTTATTCATTTACACATCTGTCTTCCAACCAAGTTGGTAGAAACATCAAAACAGCATTAAAATAATAAGGTGTGTTTTAGGTTTCATTGTTTTCCACCAAGTTTTAATGAGGAATACGATGCTAAGTATTAAGATTTTATTCATCCTATAAGCTACATGTCTTTCAGTTATTCTAAGTTATTTTGTAGAAAGCATTGTTTATTTTATTCAAAAAGATTTATTATACATATGGAAACAACCATATGACTTTTCTTAATTGACTTATCAGGGTGATATCTGTGACAAAAAGTTAATTATTAATTCATCTTTACAATTATTAGAAATAGAGAAAAACTACTATGCTTTGATGGAGAAATGAGAAGTTCAATTCTTTTAAAAGTAAAATGTCTAATTTTAGTCTGCTACTATTAGAAAAGTCTTTATTCATAAGTGAGATTTGTGTAAATTTTTTTTTTCTTTTGCCTGAGGTTGATATTAAATTGTGGCATTTTCATAAAATTAATTATATATATACTTTCAACGTTTTTCTTTATGAAAAGATGTGATATTGTCTTTTGAAATCTAAGGGAAAAGTCACAATAAAACTATCTTGGCAAGGAGTCAGTTTGGATTACACTAGTGAGACCCCTGGCACTCTAGCTTCTTATTGGGTTCAGTTAATGGGGAACCCATCAGGATCCTAAAGGACTAGGAGGCTGAACACTTTTCACCTGGCTTCCTGGCGACAGCTCCATTCAGGCTCTCCCTGAGAATATCCTTATACCCAGTGCTCCCCTAGGGCTTTGCACAAAGCTATGGCATTTTCCCAGCCCTGCACATAACTTGGGTAAACCCTCCTTGAGTTATCTTAATTTGTGTGTGCTATTTCCTAATGGTATAGAATTGAAAGTGATGTGTCTTAATATTCCATATCTCCTTTTGTAATGGTTAATTTTGTAATGATTTGTAATGGTTAATTTTAAGCCTCTACTTGTATTAACCATAGAATGCTCAGGTATTTGGTCCTGAGACATTCTGAGTGTGTCTGTGAGCATGATTCTGTATGATATTAATGTTTGAATCAGAAGACTTCTTAAAGTAGATTAGCTTCTCTATTGTGGATTGGTTTCATCCAAATCACTTGAAGACTCAAATAGAACAAAAAATCTGAGTAAGAGGAAACGTCTTCCTGATCTCTTGAGCTAACACATTTTATTGCATTTGGTCTTGAACTGGGCTTTTCCTGGGTCTCAAGTTGCCAGAGTCAAGACTATAACTCTACCACCAGTTCTCCAGGGTCTCCAGGTTTCTGACTGCAGAACTTGGGACTACTCAGTCTCTGTTGTTAGGTGAGATAATTCCTCATAATAAATCTCTTTAATGTGACAAATACCCCCATATGTAGAAGCAACTTTGGAAACTGGTAAAGGCCGTAAGAGTTTTGGAATACATCCTAGAGCTATAAGATGTTAAATGCAATTCAGTTAGATCTCAGACATAAATGAGGAATTATTTATTAGAAACTAGAGGAGAAAGTGGCAAAGTACTTGGCTGAATTGTGTTCTACTGTTTGTGATTATTGAAAGGTAGAGTTAGTGAGTATTGAAACTGAATATTTAGCTGAGGTGATTTCTGAGCAAAGCGTTGAAGGAATGGCTTGGTTCCTCCTGACTGCCTATAATAACATGAGAAAGGATGGAGAAGAGCTGAAGAAGAAATTATTAAGCATAAAGGAATCAGACTTGAAGATCTGGAAAAGTCTCAGCCCATCTATATTGCAAAAAATGAGAAAGCATGTTCTAAAGCACTAAGGATATGGCTATCAGTTGATGAAGATTTTATGGAATTATATGAGCAGAAACACTGCCAATTTGAACTGAAGGGAACAGAGACAAAAATAAAGAAGGCTGCCAGACTTCATGAATTTGATAGGATGGGATGATAGAGATATTTGACTGTGAATGTATACTGTTATTCAAGGAGAGGGAAAAAATTACCCTGAATATGGTTGGGTTCAGGGATCATCAGAGTCACTGATTGAGTTTACTTGGGTAAAATTTTTTAAAAATAATTAGTTTGTATTGATTATTATATCTTTACTTTTATTTCTTCTAGAACATAAGTAATTTATTGTATTTGGAATTCTGGATTAAGAGTCTCTGAAAATACAATTAAACTATAATTCAAGGGTTGGGGTTGTGGCTCAGTGGTAGAGTGCTTGCCTCACATGTGTGAGGTACTGGGTTTGATTCTCAGCACCACACATAAATAAGTTAATAAAAAAGGGTCAACAACTAAAAAAAAATTTAAAACTATAATTTAACTATATTTTGATTTTCATTTTTACTGTTGAGAAATCAGCTGTCCGTCTAATTGCTATTCCTTTGAAGCTTATCTATTTTCCCCCCTTTGGTTGCTTTTAATGTTTACTCTTTGTTTTTGGTTACTTGCAATTTCTTTTTATTTTGTCTATTTTAATAGTAGATTTAAATAGAATCCTGATGGGATACCTTGGCATTTTTGATCTTAGGATTTAAATCTTGTTTTTCCCGGAAGATTCTGTTACCAGTGTTTTGGTTATTACTTCTCTCTCATTCTGGCTATTATTTCCTTCTAGAACACTGATTAAACACCTGCTCCACCACTGTATCTTCCATGTCATTTAACTCTCAGTTCATATGTTTCATTGCTTTGCCTCTTTGTTTTGTATTCTAAGTAATTTGTTCAGCTAAGTTTTTTCTAGTTCATTAATGTGATTCTTTTTGATATTTTTCTACTCTGCAATTTTTATCTATCTTTAAATTTTAAAACCACTAGAATTTTATATTTCTACAACTTCTTTTTAGCTCATTGAAAAATCACCTGTATTTTTCGTGATTTTAAAAATCTATTTAGAATATCAAAATGTGTTAAATATGCTTATTATCTAAAATTCTAAAAGCATCTGTCCTATTCTTTCTTTTCCAAATTGGCTGGTTTTTTTGTGTGTGTGTTTGTGTGTGTATTTAAATACTTTTTAGTTGTAGATGGACACAGTACCTTTATTTTATTTAATTATTTTTATGCGAAGCTAAGGATCGAACCCAGTGCCTCATATGTGCTAGGCAAGTGCTCTACCACTGAGCCACAACCCAGCCTGTGTCCTATTAATTCTGATACTTCTATTATAATTTTTACTGGTTTTTACTCATTGTGTTTCTGTTTTTTGATTCTGAGTTCGTATTTCTTGAAAATATATCTTGTATATTACCTGGAAGTAATTCTTTGAAGACTGGATCATAATTGCATTTTTCTATACAGGGTTTATGTTTGCTTCTCTGAAACAAATGCTTGAAGATACTATCTACTGAAGACAACTTAAAAATTTATTTTTTACCTTAAAGTTTTCAGTACCCACAGTGTGGATCTAGGCTAGAAGCCTTCAAACCCACATGAGAGCTTGCTTGTAATTATACAATTTTATGGGAGAATTTTTTCCTTTACCCATTGCCAAGTTTAATGCTGGTACATTTTATTTATTTCTTCCTTTATTTCTTTTCTTCCTCTTTCAGGATAAGTTCATTTCTGTTTCATCTTTACACTGTGGATTTAGCACTTGCGCTAGGACTTTCAAGAATTTCCCTAATATTACATTGTTTGTGTTGGGAAGGATCTAGATTTCTGTCCTGATTCTCATTCTCCTTCAAAACCATACACACCAAAACAAATACAGGATTTTGCCAGGATTTTGGCATATACCACTTAACGAAAACCAGCATTAGAGAATTTTACCTGTTAGGTTCAAGCTGTCTCAATGTTTTGGTTTCTG